GGCGGGCTGTGTCCGCAGGAGATCCGGAAGGTGGTGCAGGCGTTGGAGCAGACGGCCCGGGAGATCCTCACGCTGCTGCAGGGCGTGCACCAGGGACCCGGCTTCCAGGACAGTGAGTCCCGCACCGCGGCGCTCCGCCTTCCCCGGGGCAGCGGGGAGAAACCGTTTAGGGAGGGAGTGGGAAGAGTCCCCCGAGTGCGTGGGTCTCGCTGTCACGGGCCCACTTCTCCAGGTTTGGGTCGGACGTGGGCGCCCCTGGGGATGTCCTCCGTGGGCTGCTCAGAGGCTGCGGGAGGGAGCTGGGAGGCTTCAAGGTAGAGAAGTAGCAACGCTGCCGTTCCCCCTCAGGAAACACCGCTCCTCCTCTTCTCCCTGCCCCAGGTCGGTATTTTTCTGTCTCGACACAGCAGAGCATGTTCTTCTTTCAGGGATTCACTTTCTGCACTGCTCAGTCAACTCGTGGCTTTCTCTTTAAGCGACATGCATATAGATTTTTATATGCTGATTTTACTATCAAGCATTGGACCTTTGTATCTGTGTCCGCTTCCTCACCTCTTCACCTCCTTCCCCAAAAAGTTGTGATCTGGAGTGCCCTGGGGGCTGTTCAAGGTGGGGTGGAAGAGGGGGCTTTAGTCTGCACTGCGTGTGTATAAAATCTCCTTAATGTTGCAAAATACAAAGGGAGTTTGCAAAAGCTGATAAAGCAGGAGCTGTTCTTCATGTGTGTTTGAGTGACACCTGTTTTAGAGGTACGGGGGTAGCTAGTCTGGTTCCTTGCTTTCAATCCAAATTTGCTTAAGATGTTTGATATAATGGTTCTGGCCCAGCCCATTTTCTCCAGAGCATTAGAACAGCACTACTGATGGAGATGCCAAATGTGCTCTTTCTGGCCTTCCATCCCCACTTTTTTACTTACTGGTGAAACTACTGGAATAAGCAGGTTTTTTCTTTTAAATACGTGACTTAAAATGTATTTTTCACATCAATGAATATATCCTGAATAGAAGCAACCATGCTGACTTTCCTGGAAACTCTTGAGAGGAATTTGGGAAGGGGAGACACCTGGCAGGTGACCTCTGAAGGTGAACAGAAAGAAGCCCACCAGGTGCTGTTTTACCTGCAAAGCTGAGTGGTCATTATCAGCCTGGTGATGTTCACCAGCACCCTCCTGCTGGAGGCAGGGGATTTCTCTGGCCTCGGAGAGGGTTTGTGTTCAGCAGCGTGCAGTGCCTGAGGTTTGACCTCTGCTGGGAAGGGCACCTTCTGCCTCCTTAGGAAATCTGGCAGTGCTAAAAACTAGAACTATTAACTGGCTAACGTATGGAAGCATGCAGTCATTGTTCCAAACTGAGTAAACCTTTGGATGTCGTGACAGTTGTTTTGCATGGGTATCTGCTCCAGGGGTTGTTTTCCAGTAATTAATAGTAGATTCCTGTGTCTGGCTCAGTGCATGTTCTTGATTTTTAATTCTGGGAGAGAGCTGGTCCTGGAACTTGCAGAGTCTGACAAGAGATCTGAAATAGTTAAAGTGGGAAAAAAGAAAAAAAGAAAAAAGGAAAAAACCAACCAACCAACCAACCAAAAAAAACCACCAAGAAAAAAGCTCAGCTTAATTCTCATAATACCAAAAGATAATGAATGCATGCCTGATAGGTTAGGAGTTAACTCATGATAATAGACCTGTCAGCTTGTCATCAATTACAGACATAATAAAGTAAGTCAATAAAGGTTTAGATTAATAAAGGTTTACAGCAGAATAATAGAGTGGCAATTAACAGAAAGATTGTTAGGGTGATAAACAGCTCCTGTCAGATGTCACATATTTAGACTGCAGTTTTATTTGATCATGGTTGTACTTTTGCAGTGTGGTGCGCTTAAGGGGCTGTTTGGCTTACTACAGCATCCCGTTTGTTGACTCCACCACATTTTTACTAAGAAACTAGAATGATTCTTCCTTAGTAGATTAAAAAGGAATAAATGATGATGATTCTTACTATGGAAAGAGGATTTTTCATTGCAACAGAGTTCTGGCTTGACTTTGTAGCATCAAGATTTTTTAGCCTTGTATTTATTTGTTCTAAGATGTAAGAAAAACTATTTACAAACTATGCTGAACTATGAAAATATTAAATTATAAACTATGTAAACTCATAACTAATTAGCAAAAAAAAGCAAAAATGCTATTAATTACTACAAGTTGGCAGATGACAGAGTAACTAATGGTGCTTGGTGGCTGCAGCTGTGTTGCTTATTGAGCCTCCTGCCTTGTGCCAGCATAAGTGAGAGACTTCTCCTGCAGCCTGGTGGCTGATCCTTTGTAATTATTCTTGCATCAGCGATTGAGGTAGGGTGATGAAAACTCAAGGAGACAAAAGACAGCCAGTGAAAACCATTAAAGGATTTACACCAGGCTGAGCAATCCCTCCTACCAAAGAGAAGGGCAAGGGGTGCCCTGAGCTCTGTTACTGAAACTACCACATAGTTGTAGTTGGATGGAGGGCAGTTTCCTGTACTGGTCAGGGGTGTTTAAATCCTCATCTTGCACAATGCCTTTCCTCCCTTCTCCAGGGACCTAAACACCTCTGGGTAAACTCGTTTTCATTGAGTTTTTCATCAGACCTCTTTCCCAGCCCACTGACAGCAGCTGTTTCACACTGCCGACTTCCCTGTGGTTGTCCCTCTTAGTGGTGACGGTGTTGATTTGTGGGATGAGCGCTTTCAGTCGTAGCCTTTATTCAGCTGCAGGGAAGGGAAGGAAAACCAACACAGCCTCAGGCTGGCAGCCTCCAGAACAGAGTTAGAAGATCTCCCTCGTTCTGCTCCCTGTCCAGAATGGAGTTTGAGAACTGCTTAGAAAGCTGCTCAGGGCAGCATGTGGGTCTGAGTGACAGGCAGGGTCTTTGGAGGCTGAAAATCACCTTAGTGTATCTTTACTCACGAAAGACATGTAAAGTTTAGCAGAACATCAGTGGTGATAAGCAGAGATGCATGAGGGTAGTTTGAAGTTACAAAGTTGTGTGTGTAGTGTTGGGCGCTGTTGTCTGAAACTTTACAGTAAAGGTTGTTAATTTTTGTCACGGGTTCCTTTGACAGAAACCAAAATGCACATTTATTCCTTGCTCTGTCCCTAACTTCCACGTGAGTTTACATGGGGCAGGTGTTCGATGGGCAACTGTCTGTGAGCTTCACGCATTGCATTCTGGCTGCCACACGTGGCACTTTCACCTTCTGCTTCCTCAAGCTTTTATTTTTAAATGCTATTTTTTTTTCCTGCAGAATTGATGTTTTATTTATTGAAAGAAGTTTTTTAACACACTTAAGTGAAACCTAGTAGGGCTTGTTTGATAAAAATCCTTCATCACAGCTTTCAGATTTAGCTTCTATGGATCTTGTGTAAATAATCCTAGCTTCTGTACATCAAGATGCAGGAGAGCCTGTTGGGTTGATCTTCTGCCTTTCTTGAGTCGTGACCAGGATCTCTGAGAAGGCTGCAGTCAAGAAGCACGGGTTTGGTTATTTCTGCCGGGCCCTGGTACTGCGGGTGCAGCATGGCTGTAACTCGTATCAATAAACAGGAGGTGGCAGTGGGTGATATGTGAACAAGAGGCCATTTCTCTGCAGAGCTGTAACACACGTTGCACAGGCTAAAACCCAGTTCCTTCAAATACATTGCTTAAAGCAGGAAATGCAGTTCCTGAAGGGATGTTGCACCTCATCTAACCTAACTGATCAATTAAAAAAAAATAAAAATGGAGATTTTAACATGGAGAAAGAAGTTGCTTTTCCTTTGACGGTACGAGTCATTTGGTGGAGCTGCTTGGTGCTTTCTTTGGGGCTGGCTGCTGTGTGCACGGCTGTTCTGGGGCTTGTGATCTGGTTGCTGCTTTTTCTTCTAAACTGCTGTGCTAGGGTTTAGGGTGCTCTGCAGAACATCTTGTTTCTCTGTGTGACACCTCTACAACCCAGCTGGCTGCCCCTTTCTCTTACTGTGTCTGCAGAGCTAAAGCTGTTACCAGCTCATGCCTGAGTGTCCCTCCTTCTGCAGTGCCACCCTAGCCCTGCCACTCCAGAGCGCTGCCGTGGGGGTGGGCTCATAGTCTGGGGCTTTAACCATGCTCTTGCTCTTGCTGGCTCCTCTCCTTGCCCCACAGCATCTGTCACCATAGTCTCAGCTCTTCTGCCTTTACAGACCCTCAAATAAAATTGCCTCTCTGCTACCTCAGAGGGGCTCTTGCACTCAATGCTGTTTTGAGCCTTTCCCCATCTCTGCTTCTCACCTCCTTCAGCATTGCTTGTTTGTTGCCCTGCTCAGTGCATCACCAGGCTCCTTTGCAGTCCATAGGCAGGCACTGCATCCACTCTGTGTTCCTCCATTCCTGCCTCCCTCTGCTTGCATCCCTCCCCCCTTGCCTCTTCGTGTGTAGGCTGTGTGACCTTTCCGTTGTTGTCTTCTGTCAGTGCCCATTACAGAATGTGTTCTTCATCCATGGCAGAAGTTTTATAGCAACAGTAATTAGTCATGATTAGCAGTGATTCTCAAATAACACTGGGGCATCAGGATCAAGTTTGAAACTAAGGACTAGAACTCGAGAGTATTTTTCTACCTGTCTGACTCATGGTGCGACAAGGAGTATTTCTGGATGTCGGTGGATATCTGGGACAACAAAGGAGCACAAATAGCGCTGTCTACACTAGAAAGCTCCCTGTGTACAAAACCCTGTTCTCTGTCAAGTACTGAACGTTGTGCTGTTTCTTTTTCAGTACCAAAGAAGTGTCAGAAGGCTCGTGAACACTTTGGTACAGTGAAAACGCAGCTGGAATCTCTGAAGACCAAGTTTCCTGCTAGTGTGCAGGATCACGTGCAGACAGACAGCGATGTGGAAATTGCTGGCATCATAGCTTTGGAAGAATGGTTTAAAGGGTGCAATGCTTTCTATCTGAAAAGTAAATTGTGGTAGAGAAGGGTGAGGCATAGATTAAAAATGCTTTTGCTCAAAAGTTATTTAAAAAATATTCAGTATTTAAATATTTTTCTAGAAACTTTTTTAAAAAAGAAAAATGAAGTTTTAAGAAATTGATGTTCTGTTGGAGCTGCCCTTGCCTCTGGGAGCAGAGCATTTGCTGCTCCATTAATTTCAGTTAAGTTGTTATGTTTGGGGCATTTCTGAGAACAGAGCTCTAAATCTGTCATGAAATGGCTGTGTGATACTGCAGATGCTAAATGAAGTTGTCAACCTTTGTTGTGTTGCTGCCAGAAGGGGACAGTGTCTAGCAAGAACATTTCACACAACACGGGCCTTGTCAGCTCAGATCTGCTGAGGGGAGATGGGAGGGAAGGCCCTGGTTGTCTTGTGGCCACCACAACCTGAAAAACGCCAGGAGCCAAGTAGGTGTGAGAGGTGCGAGCAATGGAAGTGTCCAGCGTAGTATCCTGGGGGTGAAGTGCTGGAGTACCAAGGAGATGACTTAAAGCTGATAAACCAAAAATACCACCAAGTGCTATGTGTAAAGGTAGAAAACAGTGTGTACATAATGTGTGCTTGTTGCCTAACTCTCCAGTAATAGATATTACTTATTTATACCTTGATTTGGTGTTTTCCTCAACAGATTTCATGAGCACTGGAGGTTTGTGCTTCAGCGGTTGGTGTTTCTGGCAGCGTTTGTAGTCTACTTGGAGTCAGAAACGTTGGTGACCCGAGAAGCTGTTGCCGAAATACTTGGGAGTAAGATAATGTTGTAACTAAAGAGAAAAAGCTTGTGATGTTTTTAGATGTTGTAGCTTTCAGAAGTACAGGGAACCAGCAGAACTTCATTTCTTCCCAAGAAATCGGCTCCAAAATTTATCTGGTATTTGATCTCGTTATACAACAACAAATTATTTTAGAAGGTGGAAATCAGCAAACCTAATGTGAAAAAAAAAGTATTTATTCACTAATAAGTTCTTCATCAATTAAGATTATTCATTCAAATTATGTAAATCTACCAAAAGAATAATACAAAGATGAAAGCTTATTTTTCTCACTCTTTGCTTTTGGTGTTTAAAAAGTGTAGAAAAAGGATTAAATTCCTGTGCTGTAAGAGAATTGTGTCCTCCCAGAGCAAAGGATTTGAAAACAAAATTGGGAAAATATTTTTCTGAAAAACTACTACAAACCCCTCTCCTGCACGTTGATGTAAATTCAGTTATTCTGTTGGATCAGGTATAACCTGTTGCACATTGAGGACGTACAGGATGCTGAATCGATCCGGTGAGAAGAGGCAGTAATTGCATCACATACAGGAAAAGGCTGACTTTTGTTTTGCAATAATATTTCATGATTTTGATATTTCAAATTAGCTCCAGTAAAATAAATGCAATTTCAGCTGGTCTTGCTCATGTTCAGTGCTACCTGATTACCACTCTGTTTTTTCATCGTAGTTGAAGCTGATCGGGAGCGGGGCTTCCACCTGGACATTGAAGACTATCTTTCTGGGGTGTTAACTCTCGCCAGTGAGCTGGTAAGGAAGATATTAGTGCGTATACTTGGACTGAAACTGACCTTTTCAAAAAAATAATTAAAAATCTCTTTTCTAATTCTCCTGAGTTGTTCCTGGAAGTTGTGATAGACAGCACCTTGACCTGAACTAGCAAACTGCCTCTCTGTATGCCAGAGTAGTTCCTCACTGATATTTTAAGATTTAAACTAGTCACCTGATTGAAAATCCAGGATTATGGTCTAAAAAAAAAAAGTAGATCCAAGTATAAATAATCTGACTGCCTTGAACAAAACTGCTTTGTTTGTAAAGTAACTGATGGCAGTAGTGATGTGATTTGGGTGGGTTCCTCTGCTGATGTTCTCCTGTGTCCTCTCGCAGGCCAGACTGGCAGTGAACAGCGTCACAGCTGGTGACTACGCTCGCCCTCTCCGCATCTCAACTTTTATCAACGAGCTGGATTCTGGCTTCCGTCTCCTCAACCTGAAGAACGACTCCCTGAGGAAACGCTACGATGGCCTGAAATACGATGTCAAGAAAATTGAGGAAGTGGTTTATGACTTGTCGATCAGAGGACTCAATAAGGAGGCAACGGTCGGTGCAGGTGGAGAGAAATGAAGGCTGCTCACTTTAACAGCATCATTGATTACCTCAGATGGTTGCCAATTTAGAAGGCCTACTAGCAAAGCCTTCCTACAGTAGTTTAGAAGAACTGCAGCTGAAAGCTGCTCTCTATTTTCTTACAAAAGGTGTAGTACGGGTGTTAGCTCTCAAAATGTTTTGTACAATTGTGTCTAGATTAGGGCAGGAGGCTCTGTGCTTCCTGTGGAATTCCTCTGTCAAAACACGGTGCCATTCTGTGCTCAGCAGCAATAGCAGTCAGTGACTCCCATGAGCTGATATTCGCAGTAGTTCTGTCATGTTGCCTGACTGTCACTGCTCTGGCAGTGTTTGCTTCAGCTGTCTCTGCTCACACACCTCTGCAGACATGTGCACAGCACACAGCTCACTGCAGATACACGCGATGTTTTAGAAAACTCTGTGTAAACACACCTTTTTTCAATACACCAATTTTATTTTTTTGCCTCTTTGTGTCTTAAATTTTCACCTATGTCAGTAAGTTGAACAGATTGGCATAACTGTTTATTAACTGGATGTTTTTAAATGGCTTTTGTTAATGTATCTGTCTTAATTGATAAATTAGTGAAAATATTCCTGAGAATTTCTCCACTGGAACTGGTGTATTGCACCCTGGCACATCTCTCTTTTTCTCTCTCACTATCTTGGTTTTTCCTTTCCTCCAAGATTTCTGTTACCGGGGAGAGCAAGGTTTTCTCAAACATCTGCTCTCACTGGCTGGTGTTTGTTTTACTGACATGAGTAAATGTTGAGTTTGAATATGATCATTTGCCTTGAGAACTCGGTGTAACTAATTTTTTTTTTTAACTGCCAAGGTTTCCAAATAGAGAAGTGTTAACTGATAAACTGCTGGTAGCATCTGAGTTGTAACAACCTGTGTAGGCTACACCTGTACCTGTGTCCTGGGATTAAAAAAAAAAGCACACATCAAAACTGTAGCTCATGTAGTAAAATGTTTGTATCTTCAGAAAAGGGGAAATTACAAGTTTCGGACACTTTGCATGCAAGATGCTTGCAGACACCAACAGCCTCTTTTCACTTGTGTACATGGGCAGACTGATACCTCCAGGGGCATTTGTTCTCTTGTCCTAAGTGACTGAGTTTTCCTGTTTTTCTCCTACTTCTGGTGGTGCAGTAGGGTTAAGGAGAAAAAAAGAAACGTAGGAGGAGGAATATTTCCAGAAGATGAACGTGAACAGTTACATTTATGTGGGGTTTGTTAGTGTTTCATTTTGTTAGCAAGATTTCCCACTGTTCAGTTAGGGTGGTTTTTTTTGTTTATTGGAAGAAAATGGTTTCTTGGTTATTTTGGCCAATAAAAGCTGTTGTTTGATTTTGGCCATTTGGTAACTGCCTGTTGTCTCAATATCTGTTGTTATTTGCTTCCCTTCCCTTCCTGGGAGCCTACTCTGCAGAATCACAATTGAAGTTCAGCCTTCAGCTGTACCTGGACAGTAACAGAACTCTGCTTTCACAGTACACTGTTCACTGGCGAGTGGAGCCTAAGTCAACCTGCAAACAGATTTCATAGGCTTTTTTTTAATTATCACTATTTAAATTTTTTACTTATTTTACCAAGTAAAACAGGAGAGGTATGGAGGAGTTTATCGTTACCAAATCCAAGCTGTGGCAAGGTTCATCTTCAGAGCATCTCATAATCTTTCATCTTTGTCCTCGTCCTTTGTATCTTATGTCACATAATGTAGGGAGGTGGTAATGTCACTGTCCTTTCACAGCTGGAGGAAATGAGGGTGTAACTTCCTGAGCCCTGTGGTAATGAGAGCAGCTTTCAAAGTAGTCCTTTGTTCTTGCCCTATGTGATTTGTGTCTTTCTTACTTTAACCCCGTGGAGGTGGGAGGAAGGAAGGAGCTTAAGCCAGTTCTACTGCCAAAACCAGAGACTAAATGTGGAACAACACCCTAAAGCTGCGAGTCACAGCCCTGCAGACCAGTGTCACACAGGAAATGTGTGGGAGCAGGGGAATTAGAGGTTTCCTGAGCACCAGCCTGATGTCTCTGGTTGGCAGGACTGGGATGTGAGGCCATGTGGCAGGGCAGGTGTTTAAGGCTTCGTGTCCCAGGTGCTCCGGTTGCATTTGGTCTGCCTCCTGAGATGGGATCCCCTGCGCCTAGCACGGCTTTTCAGTAGATCCTTGATCTGCCAGCTCTTGCATCTTGCATGGTTTCCAAAAGCTGATGGAGATACAACAGCGCTGTGTCACAGGTGCAGCTTCTGTGGGAGGAATAACTGGAAGAGCAAGTCTCTGACTTAGGGCTTATGAAGTCTGCAAGGTGTGGGATCCTTCTGTCTAAGGCTCTGTGGGGAGCAAGTGCCTGAGAGACACTCCAGTGTTGTGTTCATGTTCAGCAAACGTCTTGTCCCTTCCTGTCCCTAATTTCTGGGGAGCCTAGCATCTTCCTCCGGAAAAGCATCATTTGTAAGAGCCAGGCTGTAGAGTGCATTTCCGAGCTGGGTCTGGAGAAGGGAAAAGGAAAGGGCAAACTTTCTCCCTGGGCTGCAGCAAGGAAAGTCAGGAACGTGATTTTTGCAGGTTCCTTTGTGCAAAGGTAGCCTGCAGGACCTTACGGCCATGATTGTGAATGTGCACATTGCTCTGCTCCTAAATGGTAAGTTGTGTTTCTCTCCCAGAGCTGGGGTCAGAGGGAAGAGGGAAGACCCAGAAGGACTTGAGTAGGGGATCTCTCTTCTCTGACCCGTCCCTCTCCCAGGGGCAAGGGGAGCAGGTCAGCCAGCAGGGCATGGCAGTGAGAGACAGGGCTCTGAGGACTGCAGCAGCTCAATAGCTCATAATGAATCAGATGCACTCAAACTCTGAACAAATAACTCCTGTTGGTCCTGAATGGAGCGCGCAGCGTGCACTGGCAGCGGGGAGGGGAGTGAGTCAGTGCAGGAGCATTGGAGACTCTGACTCAAAAGCCAGCACAGCTATTCCAAGCCACTTCAGCCTGAAGTGTGTTCCAGGGAGTGCTCTCTTGGATCATCTTTGCATTCACTCTCTGGTTTGGGTTGGGTTTTTTCCCCATCTTGACGTCATTTCTGTGGGTTTTCTTTATTTCAGTAAAAGGGCACTTCAGTAGGTGATTATCTGCTCCTTATTTATACCACCGCCTGTTCAACCCCTGCAGATCAATGGAAGTGCTGACCTGAAGCTGTTTGGGAAATAGGGGTGAACAGCGCTGCGTGGCACAGGATACAGAGCAGACCTTGGGGCTGGCTGCTGAGTTGGGCTCTGTCTGCTGGAATTGATTAACTGCAGACCAAGACCAGCAACCTCTTTAGACTGGCACTTGTTAAAGGACACGTTATCACCTCCAGGCCACCCTTTTCTAGTGCCAGCACGCGTCTTTGTGCAGTGAACTGGATCAAGGAACTGATCCAGCTGAAGCAATCTTTATTTTTCAGCAGTGCTTGCTCCCAATCTGGTTCACCGCAGTCCCACACATGCTGTGCCAGTGCTTGCAGGGAGGCTTCTTCCTCTCCCTGTGGTGCCAGCTTTAAGAAGTGTGCACTGAGCTGTAATGCTATGTGGTAAATTGTCTGATTTTCTTGCAGTAATTTAACTGCTTCCAGTTGTGTTGGGATTGCCAAGGATTTTCTCTTTGGGTAAACAATTTGCCTTCATTTTACTGCAAAGTGATGACTCCTGTGCTACAGAGCCTCACTCACATTTTTCAGCTGGTAAAATCATTACACACCAAGGCAATTAAGGAGAGCAGAAAGTGAACATGGATGACTCCTGGGGTCTGTGCATAGGTATTGACCCGTTGCTCATCAACAGTCCATCTTCCCTCATTAAAGTACTGTCTGTTACTGGATACTGCAGCGCTACTGTGCTGAAGTGTGTGTAGGGGCTGCTCAGAGAGCCTCCTGCCTGCTGAGTTTGTAGAGTGTCATTAAGCAAGTGCTTGATTTTGAAAGGAAGAGTCCTTTGCAGTATATACCTCCTGTATGCATGTTGTGGGTCAAGCATGAATCATTTGGAGATGGGTATTTCCTTGCAAGTTTCTCTGCCTCTCTGTTTCTTGTAGCTTCAAACTGCACCACTTGTGACTTGTGCTGGTCAGCCCATCACTGGAGGATTGCCCTGCTCCAAGGGAAAATGGCTGTCCTGAAACCAGCCCTTTCATGAAAGAAGGGAATACACTCCTCAACTGAATGTCCATCTGCATGTTCACACTATAGGTGTACAAACACCTAACCTGCTTCTGCTGGGGAAATTGTAAGAGCCAGAGCCCTGCAAGGCTGCTGCTTGCTCCCCAGGAAGCCTGCCGGCTCCCATCTGAGTAGGGAGAGCTCTCCAGCTGCCTCTGGGTCTGTGCTGGAGCTCTGTGCAGCTCTCGCAGGCTTCTGTGAAGTCTGAAAATGCCCCCAGCCTGTTGGAGACTTCAACAGGGCCTGCAGGAAGCCTAAAAGGAAGAAAAAGCCTGAGATTTCAGCCCCTGAGAAAAGGTCCAGGTCTATAAAAGCCTTGTGCTCTTTGTGCTCTTTGTGTGTTTTGGTTACCCCAGGCATCAGTCATGGGATCTGCTCTGTGACTTTCTTGTGACCTCCAGGCTTCCTATTCCCATCCACCAGCCCTCTTCACAATACCCAGAGAGACATCTGATGTGGGTCCTGCCACGGATGTGACCCTGGCACTGCAAGGAAGGTTCCTGTGCTAGGAAGGTAGGGTTCAAAACCACCTGGGGCTCCACTGCCACTGAAACAGTGTTCCTTTGCCTGCTCCTATGCAGAGCACCTTCCCTGGGGGGCTGTTTGCAGTCTGGATCTCCTCAACGCAGCTGAGATGGTCCCTCAGGGATGCAAAACCTGCACTGGTGGAGACTGCACTGGGGCAGGATTCGAGCTGGAGAGTTGCAAATTATCATTACATTCATCCCTGCTGAAGGATCTAGAGCCTAATGACAGCTTTCCAACTTTTTCCAGCTGTGTAACTGCTCCCAGTCAAGCCTGGGCAGCGTGCAGTGCTGGAGGATGCTCTGCCTGTGTTCCCACTCCTTGTTAGGGTTCTTCAGTCTCTGCTAAAGAGGACTCTGTGTTCCTATTGCTCAACTTTTCCATCCATGTTGTAGAAAGGTTTCCCTGAGGGCACTACCTTCAGCTTCCTGAGGGAGATGTCTTTTTTCTACTGAGTGCCCTGATCTCAGAGTGGCCGCTTAATCCAGTGTTTGTGTGTCTGCCTTGTGAGCTGAAAACTACATGAACTCTATGATCAAGACTGCCTGTTGTTGTTGTTGTTTTCCTGGTAAATGACCAGTAAGACTTATCTTAAATTCTTGTTAAAGGTCATTTATGAGTTCTGGTAAATCAACAGAATAA